GCCGCGTAGGTAAGGGCGGCGGGGCCTCGACGTGAGGGCGGCGGGGCCGCGATGTAAGGGCGGCGGGGCCGCGTAGGTAAGGGCGGCGGGGCCGCGTAGGTAAGGGCGGCGGGGCCGCGTAGGTAAGGGCGGCGGGGCCTCGACGTGAGGGCGGCGGGGCCGCGATGTAAGGGCGGCGGGGCCGCGTAGGTAAGGGCGGCGGGGCCGCGTAGGTAAGGGCGGCGTAACGGGCCGCTAGGGGCGACACGGAGGGTCGCTAAAAAAAAAGGAACGCGCGCCTCGGGGCGCGCTTCGGTGGGCCCTAGGAACAGTCCCTAGGAGGGGACCTGCTCTGATTCCATGTGAATAAGTGAACGCGAATGAATGAACTATGAATGAAGTGGGTACAAGTACTAACCCTAATTGGGTTGTACCCCCTATGGGATACCCCACTATAGCCTACACAAAAGCATAAGCTATAATGTTGTGACAATTACTGTTCTAGCTGCCAGAACAGTACAAGTATTGCTGGAGCTGTCTTCATTGGCCTTGCAAGTGTACTACCGCGGTGGATTATTCCATCGTGCGGGCAAAACAGTTGATTTCCCAGTCCAACACCTGCTCCACGTCACTGCTACACATTACCCTTTGCTTCGTGGAACTGCCCGCGACATGACTAAACCTGTCTGCGTGGATGATGTAAAGTTCCTGTCAGCAGGAAAATGCACCGCGTCAACACTTTGCTTGCTTCACTGTTTCAAAAGCGACAAACGAGGCAATACGAAATTCAGAGCTACACCTGCCCATACACAGTTCGAGTCCTCCAGCGGGGCAAGAAGAAAAGATTCCAGTTGTGCAAGGTCGGCGAATCCGCCGCGTTGTCACGTGATTCGAGGCAGACACGAACCCCACCTTCCCCTCTGCTGCCCCCATGACTCTCTGCATCTTTAGTACCCTCACACACCCTCTCTTCCCCCTCTCCCTTTCCTTCTCCTCTCAAACGACCTCGTTCCTGCTCTGCCTTCGTGTCTCATTTTGGAAATTCAAATTTCGAGTTTCAAAGTCACTCGTCCTCCGCCTTGGCCGAGCTTATCCGATCGCGCCCCGTCCCGAGCCTTATCATTCACGCCCCGCTGTCATTCGTTTGGTGACCCAATGACATGACGGTGCGTTTTCTATCCTGTTTTAGCCTTTTTTTTTTGTCGTCGAGCCTCTTCTGCTTGCGCTCTTTATTATCACGGTCCCGCATATTATAAATACCTACAGAAGCGTGTTGCTGGCTACACGCTTCTGTAGGCTGCTACACGCTTCTGTAGGCTATTAGTCTCAAGTCTGTAACGATGGCCCGCGGCAATTCGAAAAACTTAGTCCCTCCCGCTATGATGCATTTGCAGTCTCGGCCCTCCTTGCCTCGTCTAAGCAAGGAGAACCACAAGTACCTTTTGACCAACGCTGTCTCAGGCACTTAGCGTTAGTAAAAAATAGTTTCTTGAATCGTGCTTTCGTATGTGATGTTTTGAAGTGATTTCTTTTTAGTTATTTTGTTGCAGGTGTTGCTGATGTAGCTGACGATGCAGCCGACGAAGCTCAACCCAATCGCCGACCCACCGGGGCACGGAGTCAGCAAACTCGACGGAGCCAGATTGACAAATCCCCCCCAACAGTCACTGGTACGCGGGCGAAGGACACGGCGCTCCCTACGGCGACAAATCCCGCCCTTCACCAACAGCCTGTCGTCACCTCTGCTTCGCCCGTCGAGACTTCTCCTGCCGGCTCACCTGAACGCACTGGTGAACGTCGTTCCCCTGCTGTAGCGACGGTGGTTGCAAACGTCGATGCAGCCGTTGCTAACAAACAAGATGCTGCTTCTGCGGGTGAGTGAATGTTTATGTGACATGCTTCATCCGTGCTTACACTTGCTAATTTTGCTGTTCTGTTGCGTCTGTTCTCAGCCCAAACAGGCAAAACTGGAGATCACCCGATAGAGTTGGCGATGACCCGGGCGATAGGGGAGGCTTATACTACCAATGCTACACGTTTTCGCGAGGAGGGACGGCAGCATGTGGAGGTGAATGACGAGCTTCAACTGAAGGCTGATGACCAGGAAAAGCAGAACGTGGAGCTTCGTCAGCAGCTTGAGAAGAGGGATGCGGATCTGAAGGATGCATTGGCGCTGTTGAAGCATCTGGCGGAGAAAATTGCCGATGATCAGCTCGCCAAAGTGAATTGGCGGGTGAGTATTGCCCTCTATTTTGCCGTCTGCGCTGTTTACAAACAGTCACTAATGCGATGTGATTTTTTAATTTCACGTCCACATCAAGGAGTCGTGCGACGACTTCCTTTTCAAGCCGGATACGCTCAACCTGTCACCCGATCTTGATGCGATGCTCGCAGCTTTAATCAGTAAGTGACGGTCAGAAACTGTCGCGTTCGTTTTTCATTGTTTTTTACTTCCTCGTCGTCATTCGTGTTTTGTGCAGAGAAAGCTGGTTACATCGCTGACTCCCCTCAGGGCTTGAAGCTCGCTGCCTTGCTGAAGGTCAATGGCATTTTGAAGCACGCGTGTGTGCGCTTCAACGACCGGATCGGTAAAATCTACCGATTCTGTCGCCTTTATGCTCTGAGCCTAGAACCATGCGTTTTTATGGAGAGGAAGCAGAACTTTAAGGGAGAGCTAACCCTGCAGGTGCCTGAGGACTTACTCATCAAATGTGCTGACTACGTTGAGCGTTACGTCGACAGTAAGTCATTGAGGTTTTTTTTATCGGTTGCATTAATTGGGTTTCGGGATTAACGTGGCATGTTCTGATGATGTTTTGCTCCGTTGCAGAGTTCTTGGGGATTCCCTGGCACGTCAACAGGAGAGGCAGTCCGTTTTCCAGCCCTGCCTTCGTTAAGTGTGCTTCTCTGTGGGATTCGAGTGGCGCCTTGCCAATTGGTTTATTTCCTGTTCAGCTGCTTGTCATCCTTGCAGAGGTAAGTTTAACATGAGCATTTTATTTGCCTTTCACATTGTGCATTTTAACAAGTGTTGATTGCTTTTCTTCGTGCAGGTGAGGTTCAAGTTCCGCCATCCTGGCGCCACGAAGGCTCAGTTGGATCGGTCGGGGGATCCTGGTGCTCTTGCCAGGCAGGCGCGGGTTGTACAGCGCTGGATCAACAGCAGTGACGTCACTCGCACGGACGACTCCCTTGGGATCGGCAAGGTCTGCATCGTTGGTTGGAAGGATATTCCAGAGGAGGAGCTGGTTGCAGACGAGCATGGTGACTTTGATCTGGATGAGCTAGTGAGCGAGCTAGGCTCGCAGGAGCGGTTTTATGATGAGAATGAAGAGCAGGAGGAGCTTTACGGATCACCTGTAGTACCTGTGGTAGCTTAGGGCTGTTTTTGTAGGTGTAGATGAGTTTGTAGCTAATGATAGTTCTTGGATTTGTATCTATGTAAGCTTTTGACCTTTTTAGTGTATTGTTTTCTCTATTTGTTATAATATAGAATTGTAGGCTGTACTGAATTTCTAAAAATATCGGTAATTGTTTTAGTCACTATCTCTTTATTTTGCTAGTTTACTGTACCTTAACTGTACCTATTGACATTAATGTTTTCGAAACTCGCTGTGTTCATCCCTCCTTAGTATCTCGTTTTAAATAACGGGGAAACATATGTAGGATTAAATGAACGAGTCCGAATGACTGATAACGAGTTTCCTCTTCTAAACGAGTACGCGTCGGGATGTATTTGGACGGTCCGGCAGCCAATAGAAACAAAGTTGCAACAAATCGTCACGCGCCAGGTGTCCTGTGCGTGTTCGCTCAAATTTCCCGAACCAACTCGGAGGGCTTGGGAGACATTCTCTGCACCAGTCGATCTCTTCTTGTCAGATGTATCGGAAACCAATCGCAATTCGCGGGAAAACGCCAGGAGTCGAAAACCACTCGGCAACAACTCGTTCCCAACAAGTTTCCCACACCCCCCAAATTGGCGATGCTTCCGCTCGTTCCGCACTGTGGCGGATCTGCCGTGGTGCTTCCCTCTGTCCGCTTCTCTTCCGCCCACACCCCGTTCTGACGCTTTCTGCGCATTCGGTGCCGTCCGCTGTGTTGTGTACAACTCGTGCGTCTCCGCAGTCGCTCTTCCTCTCATTTAAGCTATCATCATAACCTCACATCTAAGGGAACTCTCACTATCGAGAAATTTCGAAAGCGGACTTGACTGCGGCTGTTCAGCGGTGGTTCAGTGCGCAATCCCGTTCGGCCAATCGGATCAAGCCATGTGGCAGCGCCGCTCCGCCGCTATCATCAGCACACGTCTGCTCGCTGTCCCGTCTCTCCCTCCCGCGTCCGCCTCCCTCCCACCCTTCCACGTCACACAATGCCACGACATTCCCATCCGTGACAAACGACGCAAGTCCTCTTCTTGCCACGCAATCAGGCCACTACCACGCTGCCACGTGTACAGATGCATCTACAAGCGCCAGCTCAGCATGCGGCCCCACTGCGTCCAGTGCCGCCCACATCAAGTCAGGTCAACGCCGGTCAACGTAACCCAAGTCAGCAGCAGTCCCTCCGCACTGTCACTAGCACGTGGATTCAACATGCTTGTGCCACGTCATCATGCGATAGAGCAAATTGGCAGCATCAGCAGACCGCACATGCGAGCAACCAACAGCATGCCACCCAAAATATATTTCACTATTTCCGCAGCACTCCAGTCATCCGCCTCCCCCTTCCTCTCATCCCCAGCCAATGTGTTCCGCACGCTCCAAACCTCCTCCTCCACGTCAGCACTCTCAGCCACGTCACCAGCAGCAAGCCCAGCCCCCACCCCAGCAGCAGCATCCACCGCCCCTACCTCATTCCCATCCGCCACGTCAGCAGCAGCAGAGGCAGGCGCACACGCGCTAGTGGCGGGGGGGGCGGCAGCGGAGAGGGCGGTGGGGGGGTGGCTGATGGTGTGTGCGGCGTAGGTGTGGGCGCTGGTGGTGTTGGGGGGTGTGACTCGCCTCACGCGCTCAGGGCTCTCCATGACTGACTGGAAGTTTAGTGGCGAGCAGGCACCCAGGAGCGAGGAGGAGTGGGCGGGGGAGTTTGACAAATATCGCCAGTCTCCTGAGTTCAAGAGGTTAGTGTGCTGCCGCTGCCGCTGCCGCTGCCGCTGCCGTGGTGGCTGTGGGAGATCTAGCTAGTTTCCTCACTGCCTCATGTCACGTGCCCTCATGTCCATATGCTCTCATGCCACATGCCCTCATGTCCATACGCACTCATGCCACTCGCCCGCACTCCACATGCTACTCTACTCATACTACGATTGACTTCTCTCTCATTCCCACAAGGTGAACAGCAGCATGACAGTGGACGAGTTCAAGTTCATCGACTGGATGGAGTATGCTCATCGCAGATGGACGGAACACTGTCCCATCACTCCCCTCAGACCCCTCAGGTGCCTCAGGAAGCTCAAGTTCCACCTCCCCTTCTGCCCATGCTATTCTCGTTCCCCCTTGCAGGGTGAACAGCAGCATGACGGTAGATGAGTTCAAGTTCATCTATCGGATGGAGTAAGGCCACCGCATGTGGGGGAGGGCGCTCCCTCTTTGTAACCCTCTCACCCACTCAACCCCTCGTCACTCCTGCTTTTCTCGTTCCCCCTTCACAGGGTCAACAGCAGCATGACAGTTGATGAATTCAAGTTCATCTACTGGATGGAATATGCTCACCGCATCTGGAGGAGGGCGCTCCGCCGCCTGCTCTTCTCAACCCACTCAACAACCTCAAATCCCCTCCGTTACTTACTCCTGTTCTTCATGTTTCAACAGAGTCAATAGCAGCATGACTGTCGATGAGTTCAAGTTCTACTGGATGGAGTACGCTCACCGCATGTGGGGGAGGGCGCTCGGCCTGCTGTTCCTCTTCCCCGCCGCTTACTTCGCCGACCGCGGCTACATCAAGACGAAGCTCGCCGCCCGCTGCGCCGTGCTGTTTGGCCTGGGTGGGGCGCAGGGGCTGATCGGCTGGTGGATGGTGAAATCAATCCTCGTTGAACACTGGTAACGGAGCACATGGGACAGGACAGAACTTAGCAACACGGAAGGGAGCAAGGGACACACGCAGTCTCTTGTTAGAGCTTGTTGCAGAGTACATATCTCACCAGGCTGGTGTGATTAGCTGAGCCAGACCTGATGTCTATGCCGCTGTTCCTCCCTCAGAAGCCAAGAAGAGAGAAGATCTAGAGGATGCCAAGGCACTACAATCTCGTTAAAATTGCTTGGATATTGCATTTATTGATAAACAGTGGAAGGAAACAGCATTACAGACCTACTATAGTAATACCATTCTAACTGATCTGTGTGGTGTGGACCCGAAGAAATAAAGAGAATGGATATCATAATAACACAAATAATACTGTGGCGTATGGTGATGACCCTACTATAAACACTGATCGGTGACGACAGGGTGATGTGCTGTGTGGTGTGGTGTGGACCCGAAGAAATGAAGAGAAGGGATATGGTATGGTTGTGGCTGTGCTGTGCATGAATGGATATGGCAGGCTGTACAAATGATGCGCCAATGCTGATAGTAGCTGCAATTCACTGCTGCTCATGCTGCTGCCTGATAGGGTAGCCAGCATCCCTCATCTCACAAGCCACTGCCAAGGAGCTCCCAGGACATGACCTAGTGCCTTGCAGCAAGCAGTGCAACGAGGAGGGTCATGTGGATGGAGTTGATGGGTCAGCAGATCGGCACATGCTTGTCAGCTCGTTGCCGCCATTCACATCTTGCACAATGACCCACCAAACTGATCCTCCGTCACACCTGAAGTCACGGGAAAAGGTTAAAGGGAACAGCAAACAGGCTTGGAATGGTGCTTGTGATAGGGACTGCTGTGAAGGATGCAGCACGGGGAAAAGCACGTAGAGCAACTCAAACGCATAGATCCACGCTGTGTGATATTCTCCTCCAACACGTATGCTTTCCCATTTCCTAAGACCCAAGATCCAATCCCCGTGACCGCCCCCCACCCATCCCGTGCGACAAACTGACCGTGACCCATGGCGGCGGTGGACGAGACGCCGCCCGTGACAGTCTTCATGAGGCTGTCATAGTAGCTCGCGCCGGACCACTTCTGGTGCGCCAGCGTCTCCACGCCAAACGTGCGCTCCTGCCGCTGGATGTCCTGCACGTACGCCAGCATGCCGCGCGCCGCGTAGTCGCGCGCAAACGTGTCGGTGACGAGCGCGTTGGCGTGGAAGCCGGCGAGCGTGATGAACTGCCAGCAGAAGCCCATGCGCGCGAGCGCGGGGATGAACTCCTGCATCTGCGCGTCGCTCATGCCGGACGCGTCCCAGTTGAACGACGGCGACAGGTTGTACGCCAACATGAGCTGCGGGTGCGCCGCCTTCACGCCCTCCGCGAACTCGCGTGCCTGGCTGATGGTCGGCTTCGCCGTCTCCATCCACACCAGATCCGCGTGCGGCGCGAACGCGATGCCACGCGCCACGCACGCCTTGGTGCTGCCCTGGAAGCGGTAGAAGCCCTCGCGCGTGCGCGGCAGGTCCCAGTCCCAAAACAGCTCCGTCACGCCCAGCTTCGCCGCCAGCGCGCGCCCCTCTGCGTTCGACAGCGCGCCCGCCTGCGCCGCCCACTGGTCCAGTCGGCGCGTCTTCTCGGCGTCCGCCAGCGGCAGCTTGCGGATAGCGTCGGCGACGGCGTCGGCGAAGAGGCGGAGCCCCGCCGCCGCCGTCCACTGGTCCTCGATGGCCTGCAGCTGCTGCCCCGTCTTGCCCGCCGCCTGCGCGTCCGCCATCACCTGCACCAGCGGCTGGTCGCGAAGGCGAGGGTTGGTGGCGCCGAGAATGAAGGCGTGGTCGCGCTTGTCCACGTTGGTCATGATGAGCGTCGCCGCCTCCGCGTCCGTGCGCGCCACTAGCACCGTCTCCGTGCCCATGATGTCCATCTGCAGGCGCGCCGCCACGAGGCGGTTGACGTGCTCCTGCGTGGACACGAGCACCTTGCCCGCCATGTGCCCGCACTTCTTCGTCACCGACGCCTGGTCCTCCATGTGGATGCCCGCCGCGCCGCGCTCCACAAACATCTTCACCAGCTTCACCGTCGCGCTGATGCCGCCGAACCCCGTGTCGGCGTCCGCGATGATGGGCGCCAGGTAGTCCACGTACGGCGTGCGCGCGCGCTCCTCCTTGCTCATGCTGAAGCGCGCCTCGCGCTGCTTGCGATCGTGGAACGACTGCGCGAGGAAGAGGTGCTCCACCTTGTTGGGCACCGTGTCGTACGGGTAGTCCGCCAGGTCCGGCCCGGGCTCGTTCGACGTCGCCGCCGTCGACGCGCACTGCCAGCCCGACACGTATATGGAGTCGAGGTACTTGGCCATCTGCACCACCTGCACCGGATCCAGCGACCCGAACGTGCGGGAACAAGTGCCGTTCGCCTGGTGCCGCTTCAGAAGCGCGTACAGCTGAAGGGGGATGCCACAGGGAGAAGGGTGAGCAGACATGCTCGAAGATTGAGTGAGCCAGCACATTCCGGCGACGTAGTAAGAATGGGAGCAGGAAAATGGGACCAATGCCTAAAAGCGTAATTTGCGGTACGATGACTTAGCGCGACGAGTTTTCGCGTACCTTCTTTGCCTGCGCGCCCGAGGGGTACATCTTGGGGAGGCTGTCCCGAAGGCGAACGACGTCCCTGGCGGTGTAGGGCCGGCGGGTGAGAGCAAAGCGGCCAGATGCCCACCACGCCTCGACCTCCGCGACTTCCGCATCGAATCGGCGCTGCTCCTCTTCCACGAACTGCGCGAGGAATTCAGGATAATCAAAACATAGTAGAGAACTAGCCGCATTCTACACGCTGGTTACGAATTCGGCCAATAACGGGCTTTGGTTCGTACCTGATGAATGGCCGCCGGTGATGCGTCCTTGAGCGCACCGAAAGAGAAATTTCCTGCGATTGGAGCCCAAGAAAAACGTCAGAATCACTGACTGAAGCCCCTGGTTTTAAGAAGCTACCGTTGAAAGGCTTTGGTTTTGTCATACCCGCCATAGTTCTGGTGCGTTGAAAAGCTCGACAATACTCCCAAGGTCAAGCAGCTGCCACAGTCACCACCAGGCTGATAGTGATGGAGAACGAGATGTGGATCAGGCGCTGTGGCTGACGAAAGTTGAAGTGATTCCTGGGAGAACTCGACGATGTTCAATGTGCCTTGGGAGTTTGTGTCTGAGCTGTGTGAATTATGAGGATCGTCGAGTCAATGCGATGGCTTTACGCGTTCAGTGTGAGAGGCGCAGGTAAGCACTCCAATCTCATCCCAATGGAGGTAGCGGAGCGCGTTCTGTTTTGCTGTGATGTCTGCAACCCTGGTGGTCCCAGCTAGGAATAATTCTCACCACGTCAGCACTCCGTCACAATCGATGTGGATTTGGTGTCGTGGGCCCGTGCGTCGGCCACCTTTTGGTATCCGCGGGCCAACCGTGGGGGGAAGTAGGTGACGTGGAGAGGGGCTCGGGTGAGCAAATTTCGTTCAGGCTGCGGATGATTTCTTCCTCGTTGACTCCGAGGTTGCAAGGGCGCGTGATTCTTGGTAGAGTATTGCAAAACTCGTTTTTGTTTCTGTTGAGCTGTATACAATTGAACCTAGGTCGACCTAGACTCGAATATATGGATTTTTTTTGCCCGAGTCGCTACTCCTCGCTTCACGTGGAAGACAAAAGTTCGACCATCCAATTTGAGCTTATTGTGAAAAAAAATAGGAATGAGTGAACTAGGAAAGTGTGTGATACAAATATGGAACCCTAGAATTGAGTGCACCTTAGTGTCTACCCTGCTACAGCCTACATAGGCTAGGTCATGTATGTCTTTTACACCCCCATAGGCAAAGTGGGGGAGAACAAGGGGTCACAAGACCAGTCAGGCAAAGCAAAGCAAAGCAAGCTCAGGGTGGATCACAACGTCACCACACATTCCGAGCACAAGTTCGAAGGCCACAAGGCCAGTTCACATGCAGGATTATATAAAAAAGTAAACAAGCAGGTGCAGGTATATAGAGATCACAGTACAAGCAAAGTCAAGAGGTAAGCAAGTGAGGCCAGCATGGCCTTATTGTCAATGTACAAAACTGGAGGAGAACGAGGCTGCTCTCCCTGGTCAGTCAGCAGGTAGGTGAGCCAACGTAACTCCTGTGCAGCCATGGCCCCTGCGTAGATCTTAGCCTCACAGATGGAGCTGAGAACAGAAGACGAGCGGGTAGACCGCCACGAAACAGAGCAGGAACCAAGGCTTAAGGTGTAACCCTATGACGACCGCTGCGTAGCCAGGTCGTCAACCCAAGACGCGTCTGCGTGACCAGTGAGGACCACTGAACTCCGCCCTCCAAGCACGAGCCCCATGCTCGACGTACTGCACACGTAGCGCAACACCCTCTTTGCTGCAGCCAAGTGCTCTGGTCGGTGTCTCCTAGGAGCAACATAGCGTGCCAAGATGCTAAGAGGGTATGCCAGGTTAGGTCGTGTGCAGGTCATCAAGTACATGAGGCAGCCCACAAGCTCTGGATATGGGCCACTCGGTTCTACGGACTCGTTCGAAGGTGGAGCTAACAGCGAATGACCGGTAGGCAGAGGAGTGGACTGTGGCGAGGACTACGTGAAGCGGAAGCGCTGAAGGACCTGTTGCACCATGTGTGACTGAGTTAGGGTAATGGTGCGCTGTGCTCTGTCCCAGGTGATCCGCAAGCCAAGATAGCTTGTCTGCTCACCCAAGTCTATGCACGTGTGTCTCTTTTACAGCTCCTACTTCACGTGGGCGAGTCCCTCAGTGTCAGCACTAGCAATGACCAAGTCGTCTACGTACACAAGAACGAAGAACGGCGGCAGAGAGGTGTCGGTGCGTAGAAACAGTGACGGGTCAGCAGTAGAAGGAGCAAACCCAAGAGCAACAAGAGTCGTCCTCAGTGTGTCGTGCCACTCACGGGGCGCCTGGCGGAGACCGTAGACTGGCCGCCGGAGGCTCCACTGGGTACCAGCAGGAAACGACCCAGTGAAGCTAGGAGGGCGGCGCAGCTATATCTCCTCGTGCAGGCTGCCCTGTAGAAAAGCAGTGCTGAAGTCAAGAGAGTGAAGCTCGTAGTCGCGCTGAGCGGCTATGTGCAGCAGCACCCGAAGAGTGGTCATGTTCGGGGTGGGAGAGAAGGTCTGAAAGTAGTCAACTCCCTGCCGCTGACTCAAGCCTCGAGCCACGTAACACGCCTTGAAGACAGGCGGAGAACCCGACGGCCGCTTCACCCTGAAAATCCACATGCCACTAACGATGTTCGCCCCAGGTGGGGGAACCTCGTCGACGTAGGTGCCTGTGGACTTCTAGGAAGCCATCTCTGCGTCCATGGCTGACTGCCACTAAGAGGAGTAGGGACCCTCTATCGCCTCTGCGTAAGAGCGCGGAGTCGGGATGTTTGGTGCATCCGGGTCTCTCTCAGGTGCAATCAGCATGGACACGAGATGAGGTAAAGCAGCAGCAAAACACTCAAGGTCCTCCTACCTGTCCGCAAGGCCGTCCATACTAAGAGCACACCCACCCCCGACGGACGGAGGATAGACAGACTCAGACTCAGCAACAAGACTAGCGGCGTAGTCTAGACGACATTGAGCAGCGAAGTCGACGAGCTCCGCGACTAGGGCAGACGCTGCAGTGGACTCGAAAGAAGGGTCAGTGACAATAGTAGCCAGGAGACGCGTGATAGTAGGACTGGTAGCACGAAGGGATTCAGACTCCGGGTCAGCAAGAGCAGGAAGAGAGGACGCTTGAGGAGACGGCAAATGGAGACGCAGTGGAGCAGTGGAAGGACGCAGTGCCATCTGGTGCATGCCCGGGACCGCAGGAGGACGCTGACGCAGAATACGACGACTTGTGCGAGCAACACGAACAGGCGACGCAGGACGAGACACAGGCTCACGACGCTCAGCAAGACCTCCTGTAGGACCAGTGTAGGGAGAAGGAGCAGGCAGTGGGGAGAAGGAGCAGGTCATGTATGTCTTACACTTTTTATGGCGACCATCGAGTCGCAAGTAGCCTACGTAAGTCGCCCCGTGTGATTGCGACACTGGAAACCAGATTCGCGATAAATCTCGTGCGCACGATGAATTTTGTGATTGTCGCCGACTTCGCAACTTCCAGGTGCATGGTCAAAAGGACATTCGGGTGATGCTTCTGTCGAAGAGAAAGGCCCCGCCCTCTCTTGGGTGCAGCCAATCTTGCCGTTGACGAGAAGTTCGCGATAGATTGGTCGACGAATTTCGCAGTTCGACGGAAGTTGCAATCGTGCAAACCCTGTTCGTCATAATCTGGTCGGTGAGCTTTGCGAGCTCTCGTCGACGATCTTTGCGAGCTCTGGTCGACGATCTCTGCATGACAAGCTCCTGTCAAAGAGCGCTGGTCGACGATCCTGGTCGAAGAGTTCGGGTCAAGGAGCTCTACTCGTCGAACGCTGTTTGACCGAGCGATGAGCAGCTGATCGATTGAAGTTGCAGAGTTGTGCGAAACTATGCGGAGGCATGCAAACTTTTGCCCAGGAGGTTTTGGCGAAGTTCTACATGCGGAATGGCGTGGTCGACGGTGCGCACCTGGCGGAACCGACGACACGTTTTCTACCTGGCACCTGCGCAATGTGCCTGATGGTGAAGCCGCCAACCTGGACCTACTTAGTAGGTGCGCACATATGCGCAGATAGATAACCTAAGACTGTAGAAAGTTTCTTGAGACTGGAGATAGTCACCAGCGACCGTAGTGCTGGCAGACCGCGTGAAGTGCAACGTTGGTAGACCATTCTGCTGCAACTTTGGCAAGCCGCTCTACCGCGCTGGCAGATTTCGTCCTTGCTAGATCTTGCATGCCGTTCTAGTCCTTCTGTCCTCAATTGTACTATCAACTTTTCATTGCAAATTGTTCTTTTCAACTTCCTCAGTGGAATTCTTGCCAAACTTCTCTATGAACACAGCAAGCAGTAAGAATGCAGCTAGAGCGCTACGATCATTCGCACAACCCCGTGCCCTCCTCCGTATTCCACTCCCGTTGTGTAGTGACTCGCCGCATGGTGCGGTGAGTGTGGACGGCCCCGCGTTAGAACCTTCACATTAGCCGACGTATTCGTTCATTACCTAAGTTGCTGTAGGCCGGCAAACGTCTAGAACGCCATGGTCGACCAGGAAGTTGCTGCAGGTGTAGAAGACACCCTACAGGTGCGGTTAGATGATGTTCGGGCATGCCACGTAGCTGGCGAGTACAGCAAAGCGAACTTTGGATGATCTGCTCTTTGAAACCCGCATGCAGTGGGCGTCCGATCACCCAACGACCCGTACTGAGGCGGATGGTTTGCCCGCCACTCCCCGACCGGCACATAACGAAGGTGGCGTCGACGACCAGGTCGACGGTGGCAACCAAGTCGGCAGCAAAGGAGGCACGAGAATGACCCGTGGAGTGATTTGGGCAGCCGATGGCGGTGTCGGTGGAGTGCAGACGTGAGTTCAGCGTTTGGCGGCAGCAGGAAGCTCAAACGGCAACAGCGACGGTCGACGACGTTCTCCTGAGCGGAGTGGAGTCGGGCCGACTTCGGCGATTCATGCGTCAGCTGGTCGAGACGGAGGCATCGCGCCGTAATGTGGCTACTTTAAAATTTCGCCGGACAAGATCACTTCGCCGAAGTCACTCGAAGGTCGACACGACTTGATCACGTGGACGCAGTCGAACCGCAACTGGAGATCGCCGGATTGAAGAAGTTCGTCGACGGAGATGTGTTGGCACCGGACGAGGAGGAGGTCGAGCTCGGGTCGGAATTGTCAGGCATATATGCTATAGTCTGTGTAGGCTGTAGTGGGGCAGTTCATATGGGGTACAACACTTTAGGGTTTACTACTTGTACTCCCCATTCTCCTCAATGCATTCATTCCTCGTTTCTTCTTATGGTATCGAGCAATTTCCCTAGTGGGAATGCTACCTAGGGCCCACCACGATTTTTTTTCCTGCCCGTAGCGCGCTTCACTCCTGCCCGAGTCGCG